CCCAACTGATCCGTCTTTTTCTCCCTAGAAAAGACTCCCTTGGTTGAAAAGTAACCATACTTATAGTACGATTTTCTTGCTAAATTACAGACAATAAACTTCACAGAGCCATTTTATGCTCCTCCTGTTATGTTGGTGACGCCAAAACGCAATGATAATAACAATGCTAATCTGTCTGGGGCACATTGTAACGCTGTTACCGCTTGGGTTGAGGTAAGAAAAATTAAATAAATTACCATATTTAGAGAGGAATTGAATTGGATTAGGAGATGTTGGTTCTGTAGAGGGCTGAAAAGCGGAGAAACCGAAAAAAGAGAGACCTTCGGAGCAAAAATTCGTAAGCCACAAAACGGTATAAACAGGACATAAATTGCGCCCAAATTACATCAAAGACCCAAAGACAATCCTATGTTAATGTGAGTGAAGTTTATTTGCACATTCACAGCTTTACTTTAGTATATTTAGGGCTAAAGTTAAGTTCCCATACAAATTCGATAAAGCAAACGTTCGTTGCGTTATATTTAGACATGAACAGTCAAATACTAAGCTTTGGCATCCTATGGTGAGAAACGCGCGGTGTCACCCCTGATCCCCGAGGAGAGAATAGTGCCTCGTGGCAGCCATGTTGGTGTCCCAAATCAAACTTGTGAAAGGTTGTAGATTTTTTATTATTTTGCACCACGACAGGTTCCTGTCCGCAGATTAGATTGAAAGGTAGAATATAATTCTGTAATATCGTTTTAGAACTTCCTTTTATATTAATTGTTCGAGAATCTTGGTATCTTAGTGCAATGACAAGATGAAGAAACGCTTTTTCTATTTTCTTTCCTTATTCAGCATACATCTACAAATGATGCACAGGTGTGCACGAAAAATTACAACAGTGACGCCAACAATAAAGATGTTATCACTGTCGACTACATGATCACTGGAGGTGGGCAGAGAAGTTCCATTTGTGTACAGAAAAAAAATAGCAGAGTATTTTAAGCTTTGAAAATGAAACACCTTAACAAGCGAATAAAAATGGAGCTCAAAACTATGTAATAAAGGGTTGGAAATAGCATCTTATATACACTTGTTATGTAATGGTCTCGAGACGTAGACGGTAAATTACCTCGAAAAGAACAATTTAATAATATTTCTTTTTAACTACCCAAAAACGTCGGCTTGAGAGATCCATTT